ACCTTTATCTAAAAGATCTAGAGCTTGGGTTAAAAATCTTTCTATTGTTATTGATAATCTTAATAATTCTATAACCCATCTTCTTAATATGTCTCCTAATGAAGCTATTAAAAAGAAATTTGTATATGCTAAAGCCTCAAAACCAAGAAATGACCCTATGGGTTATGAAGAAGTTCGATTAACATATAAAGATTCTGTACTATATTTACTTAAATCTGATGAATTAGAAGGTGGTAGAAAAAGAGCTACCGATTGTAATTGGTCTCCTCAAATTTATTATATTAAGAAATCTTTGGTACAAAAAAATCAACCGGTTTTATACTGGATTAAAGATATTGATGGAAATGGTCCAAAATGATCTTTTGTTAGAGAGAAGCTAATAAAAATAGATAAGATTGAATATTCACCTCAAAGGATACTTAAAACTTATACATAGAAAAGATATTTTATATATTCGAATATATCTTCTCCAAAATTATATGAGTCCAATGGGTTTCCATAATTATCTTCTTCAATATTGGACAATATTGCATTTCTAATTCTTTTACTGAAAACCATATTTTTATTTATTAAATACCTTTCTACTTTTACGAGCTTATCAAATATTATTAAAGCATTATTACCTATGGACTCAATTTCATTATCCAAAAACAATAAAACTTCTTCTTCATTATTAATATGAATTTTTCTATAGCATCTGTCTAGTTTTTCCAATAAATCATAGTATTCTATATTAAAGTTTTTATGTCTCTTATAAAGTTTACGACAAATTTCTTTATACCAAGTACGATTAATTTGGATACAATTATCTAGATCCTCTAATAAAAGTTTTGAGACAATTTTAGCAATAATCTCAAGAAGTGTAAGTGAGTTATATGTATATATGATATGTATTCTCAAACGTATAGATTTTATTAACTAAGACTTTTTATTTAATAGATAATTAATGGAGCTAACTGAAAAAAAAATAAAAGATGACAAAAACAGTAGTAAATCTAGAAAATGGATGACTTGCTTTTCTACATTAAGCAAATATAATTTATTAAATAAAAAAATATTATGTAGTGAAAGCAAAGAAGTAAAGTTAATAAACATATGAATGTAGGGATGTCTAATATCTAAGAATTAAGTAAATTATCTACTTCTTCTTCAATATCGTTATTATTAAGAAGTGAATCTATTTCAGATTGAATATTTTTTAATGATTTAAAATGTGGTTTGGCTAGTTTATAATACATAGTATTAAGGTTTTCAATGGCTTTTAATAATCGTGATTCATATCTATACCATTGGCGATATTGCTCTTTCATTTCTATATATTTTTCTTTATTTGGAAATTTTGTAATAGCACAAGCTACAATATATTCTTCAGGTTCTTCAGTACTTTTTAAAGTAGCATATTGTTTTTTATAGCTTTGAATAAATTTTCCGTTTTTTGGTTTATTATAAAATATAGCCATTGTAACGATTTCTTTTATAGTTTTTTCAATATCTTGCCAAGTTGGCATGGATACTTGATCGATATTTTGAGTAGATGTCATTTGAATATATGTTATGTTTTAATAAACTAAAGAATTATATATATTGTGAAAACTTTTATTCAATTTAAATTTTCTATTCCCTATATAAAATGTTGGCACCATATATCTGTGACTATTTACATAATACAGGTGAAATTTGTGATAATAGAAGTACTAAAATTGAAGGATGTCGACTTCATAGAAATTGTAAAAAGTGATATCCTTGTATTAATTGCAATAAACCTACAAATATAGATAACGGATTATGTAGTGGATGTAATAGAAGTAATTATAGTATGCAATATGTTATTAGATTACGTGAAAAAGTTAAAAAGTATGAAGAATCAGTTTTGGACAAGTAAAAGATATAAAAATTTATATCAAAAATTCCCAATACCGGAAAGATATAAAGTACATGGATAATTTGGTATGTGGCCAAAAAAATAAATCGTAACATTTTCGAGTGAGGTGAAAAATATGGAGGTGTTCAAAAAGTGGCCAAAGCTGGATATATAAAATGATATAAAATATAGCAGGATGACGATTAAAAGCAATTCTGGCTATAAATTAATAGGAGGTGTTCAAAAAGTGTGCCAGAAAATACATTTTTCCTCTACTTGGTATAATTCAGTGGGAAGCTTGTTTAGTTATTATGCCATTCTAGCCTTTTTGTGATGCAATGGCATTGATAAATTTTTGGATTTTTTCTGAAAGCTTAGCTATTGTGGCAGAGAATGACAATTTTTCTGATAGGTAAACACCTAGGTATCTAATGCCTTCTTTATATGGTCTGGGGTAAATCTTGACACTCTCAATGATAAGAAATTGATTCCTTTTTATGTTTTTTGTCCTAAGGTTGGTGATTAGTTTTGTCTTTTTTGGTTGCATTTGATAGAGTTTAAGAGCAAAAAGGAGCTGAAGATATTTGTTGTCTCTTGTAGAGCTTGCATGCTTGAGCTGGTAAGGGTAACATTGTCCATATAGGCAAGGATCTTGGAAATTGCTGAGTGTGAAGCCATTCTTGTAACTATGGGATCATAAAAAATGATCCATAATAATGGAAACAGTATTTTGCCTTGATCTAGACCTTTGCTAACTGTGAAAGGATTGGACAAATTGTAATACGTTATTATTTTTAGTTCTCTTTCATTTAGGAGATTGAGAAGTAGTAAATTGAATTTTGTTGAGAGTTTGCTTCGTTCTAGAGCTTTGTTGAGGCTAGGAAGATTTACAGAGTTGAAGGCTTTGGAAATATCGAATGATGCAACCCAAATTTCTTTGTTCAGATTGTTTGCTGTGTTGATACTTGAGGTAATTATTGCAATAGGTTCAGTGGTACTCTGGTTTTT